TTCCAATCCTGTTGAATATTTTGTTTATTTTCAGGTGAACCTTAATTAAAGGTGGTTTTTGATTATATGTAATCTTTTATAATAAAATGTCTCATATGACTCAATTGATATTGTAGCTAGTCATTGAAATAAAGGTCTTACCCTGGCGGGTTTACCACTTTTAATATCCACATGGAAATATTGTAATACCCTTTTCTGAGGGATTTTGATGTATAATTACTTTTTGAAGGGTTACTCCCCTTTCACCAATTGTAAAAGTTGGAGTTACTTCCCTTTTATGTTCAGGGATATTTTCATCTGGTATTATGATTTTGATTGCCTACATTTGTAAAACATTTTTGTTATTTCATTGCCAGATTGGTTCCTTATGTATGTTTTTGTGGAACCTATCTGTCACTTCCAAAAAGGGAGGGGATGTGACCTACTTAGGTCACGTCATTTTTATTTTGACATTGTATAATTCCTTATATGGAATGATGGTGTAACACCTGGGGTTTTTCCACTGACTTATTAAGGTGTTTGAGACATAGAAATTTTCCATTAAAATCTGATTGAATGATTCTGATCAGATGACTACCCCATAGCTCAATGGCTAGGATCTCGGCGCGCCACGGCGGCGGCCGAGGTTCGAATACTCTGTGAGAAACTGAGTAGAGTCTATGGTGTCTAGTGGTCTAGTGGCTTAGAAACTCGGCTTGCTGCCGAGTATTGTGGCATAGTGGTTAGGAACACCACTAGTGGCCTAGTGGTTAGAACCACGTAAAGTGTCACACCATAGGAAAACACAACCAGCACGAGAACAGTAACTCAAGTGGCCTTGAGTGATCTGTGAGTCTCCATAGAGACTTGTCGCAGGCAGTTTTACCTTGATCAGGCAGCCGTCCATATTGTCCGGCTATAGACTCTGACCATTTGAACGTGAGAGTACTTAAGACCTGTGTGTGCCTTGCTTTCTTAAGTGATTTAGTCTTCTAGTTTAATATTACTTGTCGCTAAGTAATTCCTGAAGCTACAGCAGTGTTGTGTGGCCTGTGGCTGTTTTTTAGACAGTGTAGAAATCTGTGATAGTGTTTTTTCCTACATTGTGTAAGTTGGGTTTTTGATATTTTATACATTAAATATTTTATTTAGTTCAACCTTGTGTTCTGCCACTTCTGAGTTCGCTGATTAAAAGGTCGTATGTAGATTGGATGAGTGTTAATTACAATAGTATCACTAGCTTCCCTAGACATTAAATTCGAGCCCTAGTGGGTCGTTGTGTTAAGTGTTCATCCACTTAGGCCGTAAGGCATTTGCATATGACCCCGAAAAAAGAATCCGGGGACGTTCTCCTTCTATTTGGCTGATAGATAGGTTAACGTTACACTCCCCATCCCAAACCTCAATGCCCAAACCTCCCTCCCCCCTCAAACCTCCATGCCCAAGCCTCCCTCCCCATCCCAAACCTCCATGCCCAAGCCTCCCTCCCCATCCCAAACCTCAATGCCCAAACCTCCCTCCCCCCTCAAACCTCCATGCCCAAGCCTCCCTCCCCATCCCAAACCTCCATGCCCAAGCCTCCCTCCCCATCCCAAACCTCAATGCCCAAACCTCCCTCCCCCCTCAAACCTCCATGCCCAAGCCTCCCTCCCCATCCCAAATCTCCATGCCCAAACCTCCCTCCCCATCTTAAATCTCCATGCCCAAACCTCCCTCCCCATCTTAAATCTCCATGCCCAAACCTCCCTCCCCATCCCAAACCTCCATGCCCAAGCCTCCCTCCCCATCCCAAACCTCCATGCCCAAGCCTCCCTCCCCATCCCAAACCTCCATGCCCAAGCCTCCCTCCCCCCTCAATCCTCCATGCCCAAGCCTCCCTCCCCCCTCAATCCTCCATGCCCAAGCCTCCCTCCCCCCTCAATCCTCCATGCCCAAGCCTCCCTCCCCATCCCAAACCTCCATGCCCAAGCCTCCCTCCCCCCTCAATCCTCCATGCCCAAGCCTCCAATCCCCCTAAGCCCCAATGTCGATGCACCCAAGCCCAATTCCCCCTCCCCCCCCCCTCCCCCAGCATTAGCAGAAAACAGACGTGGAAGTTCCAGATAACGGAGTTCCAGCTCCACACAACGACGTAATCACGGTCATCAGCTGTCGCCACATTCGTCACGCGCGGCGTGGCAGTTCCCCCACAAAAAGCAGGTATTAAATGAGGGCGCGTCACTGGGGCGCTCAAATCAAGGGTTTATCTGCCCATCAGGGCGTCAGGGCGCGGGAGCAGACTCATGTCACTGCGCATGTCAACAGAAATATCAAACATATTATCATTGCATGTTGCGAACTAGATTGTCAGTGCACAGGTCAACTGCAATATCACTGATAATGTCATACAATATTATCAACAAGACAATAACTGCACATGTCAAACGATATTTACTTGTGTATAAAATTATATTTACTAGTATGTGCACTCATAAAAATGATATTTACTAATATGTACACCATCAAAAAGATATATAGAACATATGTGAACATATAAACTAATTTATTTTAAACTTTTTATTCTAACACCAACGTCGGTCTTGATTGGCACCTACGTCATTGGCCATCATGGAACACAGTATAGATTTCATTTGTAAACAAAGTCTTTATTGACAGACGACATAGCTTGTCTCAGCAGACGACCTAAGCCAATATTTGACAGACGACGCAAGCCTCTATAACAGACGATCAAACCTCAATACCAGACGACCCAAGCCTACATTGACAGACGACCCAAGCCCCTATCTGCAGACGACCCAAGCCTCTATAACAGACGACCCAAGCCTCTATAACAGACGACCCAAGCCTCTATAACAGACGATCCAAGCCTCTATAACAGACGACCCAAGCCTCTATAACAGACGACCAAGCCTCTATAACAGACGACCCAAGCCTCTATAACAGACGACCCAAGCCTCCATTGACAGACGACATAGCCCCTATCTGCAGACGACCCAAGCCTCTATAACAGACGACCCAAGCCTCTATAACAGACGACCCAAGCCTCTATAACAGACGACCCAAGCCTCTATAACAGACGACCCAAGTCTCTATAACAGACTACCCAAGCCTCCATTGACATACTACATAGCCCCTATCTGCAGACGACCCAAGCCTCTATAACAGACGACCCAAGCCTCTATAACAGACGACCCAAGCCTACATTGACAGACGACATAGCCCCCATCTGCAGACGACCCAAGCCTTTTATTGACAGACGACCCAAGCCTCTATAACAGACGACCCAAGCCTCTATAACAGACGACCCAAGCCTCTATAACAGACGACCCAAGCCTCAATAACAGACGACCCAAGCCTCCGTTGACAGACGACATAGCCCCTATCTACAGACGACCCAAGCCTTTTATTGACAGACGACCCAAGCCTCTATAACAGACGACCCAAGCCTCCATTGACAGACGACATAGCCCCTATCTGCAGACGACCCAAGCCTCTATAACAGACGACCCAAGCCTCTATTGACAGACGACATAGCCCCCATCTGCAGACGACCCAAGCCTGTATTGATTGAAAGGTCTTTAGAGGTCAGGAGCGCTGAAAATTCTTGGGACAAAGACCGCCTGCTCACATAGCTTGACATGGAGAGGTACTGACAGAGGGGGTGGGGGGGACGAGGGGTGGGGGGTGGGGGACGAGAAGATTGGAATGCCGTCCGGGGTCGGATCTTAATCGAAAGAAGGAGATTTGGAGAGGAGCTGGTGGGGCATAATGAGATGCTAAGTAACCCGGGGAGGGGGGTGTTAGGGCAGGGGTATGTGTGGCAATTATTGAGAAGCAGTCTGGAAATTTCCGATTTTCTTTTTTTTTCAACAACAAAAAAAAATTCCTCCGGGCTTTTAGACTGCGGATGGAGGGGCAGGAGGCGGGGTGAAAAGGTGGGGGTGGGGGTAAAATGGGAGGGGTAGGAGGAATTCCTCTAGTCAGGAAAATGTATGTGTAGCGCCCTGGGGGATCTGGGTGTCGGAGCAGGCGTGAAGGCGGCCTCCAAGTTCTGGCGGGCAAATACAGAGATAAATCGTTACTAGGGGCTCGGTCGGTTGCTAGGATGGCTCGAGAGGGCTGGGTGGGGGGGGGGGTGAGCTTCGATCGGTAGAAGCATTTTGAGGGAAAGTTGGGGGTGTTTGCAAGCTAGCCGGATCCGGCAACCGGTGGGCCGGCAATGTCCTTAATTCTAATTTCCACCAACGAGGTTTTGGAGAAAATTGGTAGTGCATTTTCTTGCACAGTTTTCTTGCGCTTGTTATGTGGCATTTCGTCATTTCGTCATCAAATCATCACATCGGTCCAATACAGTTTATTCGCGAGATCACACACATGTCTAAGCCGGTGCTTTTAAAAAAAAAAATATGGCGCTAAGACATTGAATTTTTTTTTATTTATTTTATAACAATATTTTTTAAAAAAAAACATTAAAAAAAACTTTGATTTTCTTGAAAATAATGTGTCGGTATTAAGTTTGTATAACAGTTTCACTTAAACATTTATCGATTTTGATACCAAAATGAAAATAACTAGATATGGAAACACACGACATAAAAGAGAGTGAGGCGCTGTGTTTTATATCCACCCAGGGTGTACTCAACATGTCAGGCAAAGTCGCCATCACACTCATATATCCTTTTTGAAAGTGACCGACAGTAAAAAGTGATAAATCCCCTCCCCCCTCCCTCCTTACATCCCACCCACGGGTTTATTCTGCTATATTCCAGTCGACGAGCAAGAAGATGGGCTCAGTCTTTTGTCCAGATGCCGCCATCTTGGTATAACCCCACGTCGTCTTTCAATTTCAGCTAACCCCCATGGGCAGTCTCACACCTCCCCCACCCCAACCCACCGGCCATCTCACCGACCCCCGCACCACCCCCCCCCCCCCCCACACCACTCATTTATTGAAACGATCGTCGCCCCTAGTATTTTGGTAGCTTTCAAAATGTCTATCTTCATTTCGCCCGTGTTTCGGTTCAATCGTCGTCGTCTCTACAGCAGTAATGATGGTACCCTGTAGTAATGATGGTATCAGCGACGATAATGGCATCACAAACGATGGGGTGGGCGGGGAAGACGAGGGCGAGGTACTCGTCAAATCCCAGGGCTGGTGCCTCAAGCGAGAAGTTTCTGGAGAATTTAGTATTAATAACAGGACTAGGGGAAGGGAAGCTGACAATGACAAGGAATCTGGGGTTGTTGTTTTTTTTTTTTTTTTTTTTTTGGGAGTTGCGGGGGATAAGGGTGGGACCTTAAACTAACAATATGGATGCGTTTGCGTTGAATAGAAGCTCAACTGTCCTATATGTCTTTATAAATGTGTTGCGTCTTCGATAAAAGCGATAAAAAACATCTTTCAAAGTTTGTCGGAGAGGGGGAGGTGAATTATGTTATTATTATTATTGATAAGTAATAATATACTAGATTTGGGGATATTCGACACTAAAAATACGTGTATCTCTCAAATAGCTTGTTAAGACTTTCTCTAAAATATCTGCTGTCAAGGTTTAAATGTAGATTTGGGAGATGAAACTACAAAATGGCGCAGAATTTGACGGACGAAATACCTGCTTTCGGTGTTTGAGCGGCTAGACGCAAATTATGTTCCCTAAACTATCCTTGCTTGGATAAAATTCTAAACTTAAAATTGTTTTTTTTTATTCTTAATGCTCCAAGATTATAAACAATATTTTCACGGATCCAAGTTGACCTTTAAATTCAAATCAAAATTTTCTGGAAACCTTAACATCCATTGATTTTCGCATAAAATTGTTGTTTGACATGAAATTTCCGTTGATGTAAACATAACATTTCTATGACCTTAAATGTCTTTTTATTCACACATTAAAATACATGTGAAAAGTAAACACACTTAGGTGTGCTCAAAAAAAAATAATGAAACCGCGCGTTTAAAACTCTTAAGCCTGCTGCAAATATTTCTGCTTCTTATTTCCGTATCTAAAAAAAAACCTTTGTACACAGTACCGAAAAAAATATCAAATAACTTTTGCCATATTTAATTATCATTGCATGCTAATGATTGGGTAAAATGGTTTGTCATGAATGTAGAGCCCAGTCTTAAGGGACTCCCCCCCCCCCCCCCTATTGTAAGGATATTTATGCTCTTATCCCACACATGCGAAGCTAACTGGACTTTCCCCAGCGGGTGAACCGTTAGTTAGCGCGTCTCAGTGGGAGATTATAACTAGATTGTCCGGCCAATTAATGAGTACTAAGTCATGGTCATGTAGTGTTAGTCATAATGGGGATGTCGGGTCGGGTAGTGTATAGGGTACTACAAATGATGTAGTGTATAAATGATACACTTGTTTACATGTAGTGTGAGGTATAATGTTCATGTCGGGTTGTGTAGTGTATAGGGTACTACAAATGATGTAGTGTATAAATGATACACTTGTTTACATGTAGTGCGAGGTATAATGTTGATGTCGGGTTGTGTAGTGTATAGGGTACTACAAATGATGCAGTGTATAAATGACACACTTGTTTCCATGTAGTGTTAGTTTTAATGGCTGTCGGGTTGTGTAGAGCTAGTCATAATGGGATGTCGGGTTGTGTAGTGTATAGGGTACTACACATGATGCAGTGTATAAATGACACACTTGTTTCCATGTAGTGCGAGGTATAATGTTGATACTAGGATGTATATAGTACACAAAACAACAGTTGATGTAAAGTAAGTGTACAGCTGGTACACTTGGGGACATTTAGTGCTGCTGTCAGAGGTAATGTACATCATTTGATTTAAGTGTACAACCTGTATACTTGTGTACATTTAGTCTCGTCAATTTGCTGCTTTCATTAGTAATGCAAAATTTCTAATACACAGAAAGGTATGGGCATTGTCATGTAATTGTACATATGGTACTCACTTTGTGTACTAAATACATTATCATAAAGTAAGTGTACATATGGTATTCACTTAGGATACATAATAAATTGTCATAAAGTGTAAATACGGTACTCACTTAAGGTACATAATAAATTGTCATACATTGTAAGTACGGTACTTATTTAGGGTACATAATAAATTGTCATAAAGTGTATATACGTTACTCACATAATAAATTGTCATACAGTAAGTATACTTATGTTATTCAGTTGTACACATAACACAGTGTCATAAAGTGTACATTAGTACTCACTTAGGTAACACAATACATGAAAATTCTGCTAAGTATAACAATCCTTACAGCGACATTGGGTACAAAATGTCCATGATGACAGTACAAGTAAGGTTGTTAAAAATATTTCAGGAAGGCAAGCTAATAAAACAGTATGAGAGGACCAGGTAAGGAACTCAAGGAGGTAAGTTAAGGTCAGTGAAGTCTAGAGAAAGGAAGGTCTAGGTAGGAGGGTCAGGGTGGGGAATTGAACAAAAGAGGTCAGTTAAAGGTCAAGGAAGAAGGTCATTGTAGGATGGTCACCTAGAGGAAATCAGGGGGAAAGATTAGTTTTAAAATTCTAATTACTGTAAATGTTTCGGAAGCATTCCTCTAGCGTAACGCCTGGTTCTAGAAACTTACTGTTCCACATTTGTTGAGTACCCTAAGGTAATTCTGTCTACCTAGTTGTATGCACTAGTTTCACGTACTCACTGTGTGCTGATTGTAGTGGTTTATGTATTTGTGTTGGGTGTGATCTTAACCAGCAAGACAAACAAAGTAACGAATTAAATATAACTTGTAAAAGGCATTAATTATCTTGATTTAAACAATCAGTATGTTCAAAATAAACATCAAACGAAATTAATTGGCAAAAACAAAGCGGTATATAGCATCTAAAATTGACATTTTGTATAACTTTTCAAATATTGGCCGGCATATAATGATGACGTTGGTTTAGTAGAGATTGGCCTCTCTGCTACCAGAGTAGTCGTGCTTCAGCATACACAACCATCAATAGCAGACAGCTCTAGCAGAAGCCTCTGGTGATAGGGATAGCACTACAGCCCCTGGGGATAGCGATAGAGCTGGTCTCTGTCTCTGGGGATAGCACTAGACCTAGTCTCTCATAACGGTCTTGGGATAGCGCTAGAGCTAGTCTCTGGGGATAACGCTACTGCTATTCTCTTATGGCGATCTGGGGGTAGCGCTAGAGCCAGTCTCACATGGCGGTGCATCTTGCAGCCCTCGCGGCTCCGTCCACACGTCTAATGAAACGCCACAGGCACTGGATTCCTCTTGAACAGTTCCGGCGAAGAAATTTATTTTGGGACCGTAAAGTAATGTGAGGGGAGAGGGGTGGAGAGTTTGAATAGATTCACTGAAGAAAAAGACATTTACGAGTTTTATAAATTAAAATAGATTTTATTTTAAAATGATTGCTTTTGTTTTTCATTAAAATCCTGTTAACTATTTTACATAAAAATAAACTGTATTAAAACGTAGTTTTTAAGACATCTATTCATCAATCATGATATGATTAATAATAAAAATGAATTAAAAATTAAACTGTTTCCAATTAAAAACAATGTCAACGTTCCAACATTTTCTGAAGGTTGTTTATTTTTGCTTCGATCAAGTTTTTAAGAAGTTCACGTTTTTTAAATTTTGTAATTTAAATGAGATATTGAATAATTTTTTGTCTTAAATATTTTTTTTACTGGAACAAATATTTGTTAGAGTGACACACCCGTCTTGTTAATGGGTTTGCACTTCGCACTTCTAATTGCACGTTACACAATTAGCAGAATGAGTCACAGAAGAGTGATTCATGTAACACATTCTCTAGCACTAGTAAGACAGTGGTCTGTCTTCATTTTATACAATCCAAAACTCTTGAACATTTCAGTTGATTTAGTCATAAAATATAGCACAAGACAGAGGCTTTCTTGAGAGGTAAATTATTAGGATTTACCGGGTCGGATTTTTCAAGAAAAGATTTGCCCTTTACTAAACCCCGGATTCTTTTAGTGCTTTTCTCTTTAAGTTGGTTGGAGTCGACCTTCGACGGCATTAAAGTTGGCATTCCTGGTGTAAAGCCGTACACAGCCTTGCCTTTGCCCGGGGGTGTAATTATGCGGTCCCTGGGTAGTGGACTCACTAAGGGAGCCCGTGGAGCATTTAATGCCAGCACATAATGAGGCTAGTTCATCAAGTATCAGAGAATTACTACAATTGTTACCTACCAACATACAAGAACGGGTTTTAATATAAATAAATAAATAAATAAATAAATAAATATATATATATATATATATATATATATATATATATATATATATATATATATATATATATATATATATATATATATATATATATATATATATATGTTTGTGAGTGTATGTGTATCCATATCCATTGATCTAAAAGAAGATCTATCAATGCCCCATTCATGAACACGTAAAATTAAGTACAGTAAGTGTTAGCGTGTACTTTCTCTGCTTATAATATGATACAGCAGTCAATTGACATAACATTTTCAATAAGATACGCTGGACAGGTCTCCTAATTCGGGAATACAATGACAGAGCATATTAGTTTAATGGTTTTAAATACCGCAGTTACATGCGGTAATAAAGCACCAACCTGATGAACTGAGTTCGATTCCACATCGGGCGCCAGGCAAACCTAACCCAACCTAACCTTAATGGTAAACATAACACTTGAGGATTCCCTACTTTACATTATACCACACATCTGATACATCTCTGTTTCCGATTACAAGTACAACACTACTCAGACATAACCAGCACACTACACACCTGCTGTTCCATCTACTTAGGTCAAGTCTTTATTCCCCTGTCTTGTCCTCCCACCAAGCCTACACTCCCCATACACCAAATTTTAAAATAATAAATCAATCTTTAGGTAAAAAATAAGAGCCAGGAATGTGCGTGCCAGCTAGCGGTCATGTTAGTGCCAGCTGCCGGTCATGTTCGTGCCAGCTAGCGGTCGGGTTAGTACCAGCTAGCGGTCGTTTTATGCCAGCTAGCGGTCATGTTAGTGTCAGTTAGCGGTCATGTTGGTGCCAGCTACCGGCCATGCTGTGTTTCTGTTGTCGTGGTGTAGTTCCAATTTGCGTGATGGTCTCTCAGTGTGTCCCCTCTCTCCACCGCACAACACCCAAACAATTAGACTCATGTATATTTTAGATGTCTTCCT